AAAAAAAAAAAAAAAAAAAAAGAATAGAAAAGGAATTGATTGCTCATGAATTAAAAGTAGTCTTGAGTAGAAAGTTTCTCCCCAAATAAATTTCACAATGACAGAGGTGGTTTATTGGGCAAATGAGGACTAGTTATTTCATAGCTAGTTTTACCAAAATATTAATCTGCATGCTTTTCTCTGTAGTCTTCCTTTTTTCATCAACATGGGTGTGCCACCAATGACACCAATGCCAAGTACAACAGTCGCGCTGCTCAGCTCTATAGGGAGAAAATCAGATCCCTCGCTTCCCAAGCAACGCGGAAGCATGGCACTGATGTAAGTCACTGGAGGCTGGATTGTTTCCCTTAGATACATGTTTGCTTAGTAGAAAGTGATTTTTATCCTGAATAATAAAACTTTTCTACCTGAGTTAACTTACAAGGAAATAATGTACAGTAGATTATTATCATTTGAAATAGTTATGTTCTGCATGAGCATTGGATTAGTGAGTACTGAAACATTGCTCCTAGGAGAAATACAGGATTAAGTTCCTATGAGCTTCTGGTCTCATTTTCGTCCGCTGATCAATACATAACCTTATTTAACATGTGTTTCTATTTAAAGACGCCTTTTTAAATATGTATTGATGACTCATGAATATTGAACTCACAGCCAAGGAGTATAATTCAGCCCTGAATGAAGCTTATTTAACACCTGGATTTTCTCCATAAGACACATCATAGTCTTCATGTGCTTCATGGGAACAAACATTAGATAACCCTTCAGTACTGTACTTGAGAGCCGTCTTAAACAATGACATCCTCAGTAAAAGGCACAGAAATATGAAGGACATAGCACTAAATAAACTACAGAAAGGACATTTGTTTATGAGAACTGAAACAAGAGGCAGAGTGTGTCTTGTTCTACCTCAACTGGGAACGTGCTTCTCGGGGAACTTATTTTTTGCTGCACTATTCTCCCAATGACTGAAAACACCACGAGGACTGATTTTGGAGTTAAAAGTAAATTTTAGCAAGTGGGAAATTCCTAAATATTAAATCCATGAAAAATGAGGATTGATTATCATTTGGAACCTGCATTTAGATATGAAGTCCTTGATCTTTCCTTTTCAGAAATGATTTGTGTATTTGAGGTACTCGACTTCCTCAAGGTTTGGAAGCAAAATTTACTGGATGATAGATTACTAAAGCGCACTCAGAGGTCCCTTGTAGGCATGTTACTGATTTTATATGGAATGGAAAGTGCCGTGCTCACTCTGGCAGCACATATACTAAAATTGGAACGATACAGAGAAGATTAGCATGGCCCCTGCCAAGGATGACACGCAGATTCATGAAGCGTTCCATATTTAAAAAAAAAAAAATAAGAATGGAAAGTGCCGATCTTTAGGAAACGGGTCTCTATAAGGGAAGTGAAGGGTATCAAATAACACCCTTCACAGGCCAGATGAATGCTTAGCCCTGTGTTGTGTTTTTTTTCTAGCTGTGGCTTGATAGCTGTGTCGTTCCATCTTCGTCCCCTCCACCAAAGGAGGAAGATTTTTTTGCCTCTCATGTTTCTCCTGAGGTATGTATTATGCTTCACATAATTTTAAAATGTGCTTACTCTGACAGTTACAAAGGTACATATTTAAAATGCTAGGATGTAGGCTAAGCTGTTGTAATAAAAAGTCTTGAAACATAACTACTTAAGAGAGAAGTGACATTATCAGCAATTCCAAGGTTAGGCTATCCGCCGTTAACTGATGGACTGACTTTGCTGTTCTCAACATGTGGCTTCCCTTCAGGGTCTAAAGCAGCTGCTCCAGTTTAAGACTCTCCCAGCTTAAAGGAAGAGGACAAGCATCCTTGAGGGCAAATGCCCTTTTCATTTTTTTTTTGAGACTGAATCTGGCCCTGTTGCCCCGGCTGGAGTGCAGTGGCACAAACTCAGCTCATTACACCCTCCGCTCCCTGGCTTCAAGCGATTCTCCTGCCTCAGCCTCCTGAGTAGCTGGGATTACAGGTGTGTACCACCACACCCAGCGAATTTTTGTTTTTGTTTTAAGATGGAGTTTCGCTCTTGTCGCCCAGGCTGGAGTGCAATGGCACGATCTCAGCTCGTTGTAATTTCCACCTCTTGGGTTCCAGCAATTCTTGTGCCTCAGCCTCCCGAGTAACTGGGGCTACAGGTATGCACCACCACACCCAGGTAATTTTTGTATTTTTAGTAGAGATGGGATTTCACCACATTGGCCAGGCTGGTCTTGAACTCCTGACCTCAGGTGATACACCTGTCTTGATCACCCAAAGTGCTGGGATGACAGCTGTGAGCCACCTCGCCCAGCCATAAATGTCCTGTTTTTTTACAGAAAAAGTCTAGAGGGAGCTCCTGTCCTACTACTTATGTCCTGTGAGCTGAAATTTAGTTGCATGTCTTATCTAATTGCCAGGGAGAACTGAGAAATTATCACTAATAGTATGCCTCAGTTCAGTTCAGAGCTCTGAAACTGACAAAAAAATGAAGACATTTTTAATAGGGGTTTCATTCTCAGTACACTAGCTCTGCTGTTTATGTAGTATATATCTCAAAGCTATTGAATGAGTTAATATAGATATAAGTACTAGAATCTGGCACAAAGTAAGTCTTCAGTAAGTGCTCTGAATATCACTATCTTCATCTTTATGACCTGATAGCAGCAGTGACAGCAGTCCACAGTACTTCTGTGGCCTCTCCTCAGATCACTTAGATCTAAGGAAAGTAAGGCCTAAAAAGCCACAATGTTTATTATTTGGCCCTTTCTTTTTTTTTTTAGATGGAGCTTTCATTCTTGTTGCCCAGTCTGGAGTGCAATGGTACGATCTCAGCTCACTGCAACCTCTGCCTCCTAGGTTCAAGCAATTCTCCTGCCACAGCCTCCTGAGTAGATGGGATTACAGGCATACGCCACCACACCTGGTTAATTTTGTATTTTTAGTAGTATGGGGTTTCTCCATGTTGGTCAGGCTGGTCTTGAACTCCTGACTTCAGGTGATCTGCCCCCCTTGACCTCCCAAAGTGCTGAGATTATAGGCATGAGCAACCATGCCCAGCTTACTATTTATCCCTTTAAGGTAACATGTGCCTACCTCTGTCTTAGAGCATCATATGTTTTGCCGGCCACCCTACCTCTGCCCAATCCCACTGACTGAGGGGCACGATTCGTTGAACTCTTGCTCAATCCATTCTTTAATTTTCTTTTTTTTTCTGAGATGGAGTCTATGTCGCCCAGGCTGGAGTGCACTGGCATGATCTCAGCTCGCTGCAACCTCTACCTCCCAAGTTCAAGCGATTCTCCTGCCTCAGCCTCCCGAGTAGCTGGGATTACAGGCATGCGCCACCATGCCCAGCTAATTTTTTTGTATTATTAGTACAGACAGGGCTTTACCACATTGGACAGGCTGGTCTTGAACTCCTGACCTCAGGTGATCCGCCTGCCTCAGCCTCCCAAAGTGCTGGAATTACAGATGTGAGCCACTGTGGCCAGCTTATTCTTTAATTTTCAATTTAAAACTACATAAAGTTATATAAGTTGTTAAACCTTATTTTTTGTTTTTTGTGGTTTTTTTGCTATTATAATTTGCACATACTTACTAGCATTGTCACAGTCAATGGTTACCAAAAATAGTAAAAAAAAAAAAAAAAGAGGAGAACAGACCAGGCATTGTGGCTCATCCATATAATCTCAGCAGTTTGGGAGGCTGGGATGGGAGGACAGCTTGAGCCCAGGAGTTTGAGAGGAACCTGGGCAACTTAGTGAGATCCCTTCTCTACAAAAAATTTAAAAATTAACTGGGCATTGTGGCACATGCCTGCAGTCCCAGCTACTCAGGAGGCTGAGGTGGGAGCGTCGCTTGAGCTTGGGAGGTCAAGGCTGCAATAAGCTATGATTGTGCTTCTGCACTCTAGCCTGGGCAACAGAGCAAAAAAAAAAAAAGGAACACAAGAGAAAAATAGATAGGCCTTCCTTTCCGTTATCAGGGACTCAGAATGGGATGTTTAAATTGTTAGGTTTCTCCTGTGCTTGGATTTGTTTTTCATGGCTGTTTTCTTGCTTTGTCTGCTAATGACTTTCCTCACCTTGTTTCAGGCGAGTGGCACAGCATGGGCATCAGCAATAGCAGAACCAGCTTCTTTAACATCAAGGCCTGTGGAAACCACTTCAGAAAATAACGAAGGTGGAGTGCTTAGAACTGTCATGTAATACTATTTTATGGTTCAGTGGCATGCTATGAAACTATTAAAAATTAAGATGGGCTGGGCACTGTGGCTCACGCCTGTAATCCCAGCACTTCTCGAGGCTGAGGCAGGAGGATCGTGTGAGTCCAGGAGTTGGAGACCAGCATGGGCAACATAGTGAGATCCCATCTCTACAAAATAAAACAAAACAAAACACCTGAAACCTGTTAAAATGTAGACCCTTCTGTCTTTTTTTTTTTTTTTTTTTTTTGCGATGGAGTCTTGCTCTGTCACCAGTCTGGAGTGCAGTGGTGCCGTCTCTGCTCAATTTAACCTCCAACTTCCAGGTTCAGGTGATTCTCCTGCCTCAGCCTCCTAGGTAGCTGGGATTACAGGCATGCACCACCATGCCTGGCTAATTTTTTTAATTTTTAGTAGAGATGGGGTCTCACCATGTTGGCTAGGCTGGTCTTGGACTCCTGACCTCAAGTGATCTGCATGCCTTGGCCTCCCAAAGTGCTGGGATTACAGGTATGAGCCACTGCACCCAGCCAGAACAAGATTTTTGAAACTTTTAAAAAATTTCTCTTATAGCCACTCTGTTGCCCAAGCTGGTCTCAAAGTCCTGGGCTCAAACAATTCTCCTGTCTTAGCCTCAGATTTTTTTATTGTAATCGTCATTCATAGCTGAAGAGTTCGTTTATAAAAGCTTATTGTTTAGAATTTCATTTTTTTCGCACCTGCAACAGTACATTCATCTTCTGTGCCCAGAAATTTTTTAAGCAATCAAGAAGACCTGTTGCCTGTGGCTTCACCTAGAATTTCATGCTTTAGCACTGGGTGATATAGTGCAGTCTTGAGTGAACTTAGTTTGCAGAGTGGAAAGGAGAAAACAAAAGAACTTTAACAAATAGAGATATGGGACATGAAATGCTCTGCTTGTGTATTCTTTTTCACTGCTGTTTCTCAGTGCCCAGAGCAGGTCCTGACTCCAGTAAACGAAGATGTGGTCAGTTGTTTTTCTATAAAATATCACTGTGCTCACTCATCCTGTTTGGCCTATTTAAATGTCTTAACCAGAGCTTATTTTTAAAATATTTACGTAAATGAAACAGTAGAGTTTCCTGTAAACCACTGTTGGGCCTCACATTTTAAAAATAATTGGTCTACCATAAAATTCACTCTTTTAAAATATACAAATTAGTGGTTTTTAGTATATTCACAAGGTTATGCCACAGTCACCACTATCTAAGTTTAGAATATTTTCTGGCTGGGCATGGTGGCTCACACCTTTAGTCCCAGCACTTTGGGAGGCTGAGGCAGGAGGATCGCTTGAGCCCAGGGAGTTTAAGACCGGCCTTGGCAACATGGCAAGACCCCTTTCTTAAAAAAAAAAAAAAAATCCCATCTTATTTATTTCTAAAATAAAGAAAAAAAGAATATTTTCAACAGCCTAAAGAAACTACATAACCATTAATAGTCATTTTTTATTTCCCTCTGCCCCTGGCATTCATGAGTCTTCTTTCTGTACCTATGGATTTGCCTATTCTGGATGTTTCATATATATAGAACTATACAATATGTGGTCTTTTGTGAGTGGCTTTTTAAGCTTATGATTTTTTTCAGGGTTCATTCTTGTTATAACCGCTATCAGTACTTCATTCCTTTTTATAGCTATATAATATTCCATTGAATGGATATACTACATTAATTTTTTTTTTTTTTTAGATGGCGTCTTGCTCTATTGCTTAGGCTGGAGTGCAGTGGTGTGATCTCAGCTCACTGCAATCTCAGCCTCCTGAGTTCAAGCCATTCTCCTGCCTCAGCCTCCCAAGTAGCTGGGATTACAGGTGTGCACCGTCATGCCTGGCTAATCTTTGTTCAGCTGTTTTTCTTCTTTTTTTGACATGGAGTCTTGCTCTGTCACCCAGGCTGGAGTGCAGTGGCATGATCTCGGCTCACTGCAATCTCTGCCTCCCGGGTTCAAGCAATTCTCCTGCCTCAGCCTCCTAAGTAGCTGGCATTACGGGTGGCTGCCACCATGTCTGGCTAATTTTTGTATTTTTGGTAGAGACGTGGTTTTACCATGTTGGCCAGACTGGTCTTGAACTCTTGATCTCATGATCTGCCTGCCTCGGCATCCCAAAGTGCTTACAGGTGTGAACCACCGCTTCTGGCCGCCATCTTTGTATTTTTTTAGTAGAGATGGGGTTTCACCATATTGGCCAGGCTGGTCTCAAACTCCTGACCTCAAGTGATCTGCCTGCCTCGACCTCCCAAAGTGCTGGGATTACAGGCATAAGCTACCACATGCCCAGCCTACATTTTATTTATTTTTAAAGTAATAAATAAAATTTAAATAACAAAGTATGGTTGGGCATGGTGGCTTATGCCTATAATCCCAGCACTTTGGGAGGTCAAGGTAGGGGGTCTCAAACTCCTGAGCTCAAGTAGTTTGCCCAACTTGGCCTCCCAAAGTTCTGGGATCACAGGCATGAGCCACTGTGTCTGGCCTTTAATGAAGGCTTAATATAGTTGCTAACCAGGATCCCTTTTTAGTTAAAATAGAATAAATAAGGCAGATTTCTTGGCAGCTGGAAATTTAGATTTCTATCATCGATGTAATTGGTATTAGAATTTCCAAATATTAATATACGTTGGGTATATAGTACACAGACGTACTAAGTATCTTATGACAGATCACTTTGAAACACTAGATCATAAGGTAGAATTTTGAATCCTGTTAGTTGAAGAGACCACTAACATTTTTGTTCTATAAAGCCATTGGATTAAAAATACACTTCTACTTTAATGGACTTTTACATCAAAATTCTTATAAGAATAAAATAGAATATGGAGCTAAAAAGATAGGTGATCATTGGCAAAATTGGATAAGATATGTAGCACTGTGCAAGTTGAATTATTATACATTCAAAAACAAATTAGGTGAGTTTATTTTCTGCACTAATATCAATGTTTTGAATTTTCAGGTGGACAAGAACAAGGACCAAGTGTGGAAGGTCTTAATGTACCAACAAAGGCTGCTTTAGGTAATACGCTTAAAAGCCTACATTTTGATTTGAAGTGTATGACTCATTAAGAAAAAAATAAATCCTCCTGCATTTGGCCTAGGCATCTCACCTGATGGAGTAATATAGCATCATGACCGAATCTGTTAATCAGATTTCATTAAGCAAAAGATGCTTTATATATATATGTTTTTTATTCATCTCTCAAGCTTCCAACAAAGATGCTACATTTAAACCAGCTTGATAATATAAAATCCAGCAATGTGGCTGGGTGCAGTGGCTCAGGCCTGTAATCCTAACGCTTTAGGAAGCTGAGGTGGTTGCATTGCTTGAGCCCAGGAGTTCAAGACCAGTCTGGGCAACATGGTGAAACCCTGTCTCTACCAAAAAAAAAAAAAAAAATTAGCTGGGTGTGATGGCATACACTTGTAGTCCCAGCTGCTTGGGAGGCTGAGGCAGGAGGATAACTTGAGCCCGGGAAGTTGAGGCTGCAGTGAGCCATGATCACACCACTGCACTCCAGCCTGGGAGACAGTGTGACACCTTATCTCAAAAAAAAAAAAGGGGAACAATGTGTACATTTAGCCAATGTGGTTGCTGGTGTTTTTGATTGGCGAGTTTATGTTGTGCTGGCTCACATTCCCAAAATAAACAGTGGTTAGAACACCTACACCATTCCTTTTTACTCAGAACTCAGCATGTTCTTCTTTCTGATTTTATCATAGGCAAACTTAGTCTTAAACTTTTCATTATGAAGGAATTATATTTTAATTGGTGCATATTAGATTGCATTCATTGGAAAGCAGCTGCTTTGGTGAAAAATAACTAAACTGTTAGAAATATTCCTGACAGGCGACGTAGTGGCTCACGCCTGTAATCCCAGCACTTTGGGAGGTTGGATCACAAGGTCAGTAGTTCAAGACCAGCCTGGCCAAGATGGTAAAACCCCCCATCTCTACTAAAAATACAAAAATTAGCCTGGCATGATGGCGCATGTCTGTAATCTCAGCTACTCAGGAGGCTGAGGCAGGGAATTGCTTGAACCCAGGAGGCGGAGTTTGCAGTGAGCCGAGATCGTGCCACTGCACTCCAACCTGGGTGACAGGGCGAGACTGTCTCAAAAAAACAAACACATACACACATAAAAGAAATATTCCTGGCCGGGCACGGTGGCACACCTGTAATCCCAGCACTTTGGGAGGCTGAGGCGGGTGGATCACGAAGTCAAGAGATAGAGACCATCCTGGCTAACATGGTGAAACCCCGTCTCTACTAAAAATACAAAAAAATTAGCCGGGTGTGGTGGCATGCACCTGTGGTCCCAGCTACTCGGGAGGCTGAGGTGGAAGAATCGCTTGAACCCAGGAGGCAGAGGTTTCAGTGAGCCGAGATTGCGCCACTGCACTCCAGCCTGGTGACAGAGCAAGACTCTGTCTAAAAAAAAAAAAAAGAAATATTCCTGACATTTTCATCATGTATTAGACTTGTCAGAGATTGGAAGCAGGTTATGTGACTACTACAATACAAATCTAAAAGAAAGTGATGAAAAGAAAAACTCCCACAAACATCTTTTTCACACTTGAAATGTAATAAATGACATTGTTCTCTACTTAGAGCTAAACATTATAATCTTTTGCTGTTTGTGGTTTTATGCTATCTTTTCCTATCAAAGCACATTCTTATCTTTATATGAAAAAATTCAGACTTAAATTTTGCTGGGTTTCTTTTTTCTTTCTTCTTTTTTTTTTTT